AAGAAATGCTTCCATGGGGGTCAGCTCCCTGCCGTGCCCACATGCACAGAGCACTGTTACATTTGTAGGGAATTTGAGCCTAAACTCATGTGGACAGAGGCTGTTTGGCTGCAGCATGTTACCTGGCTGCCTCTGCCAGCAGATCCTGTCGTTTGAATTTGCTGTGGGGTCTGCAGGAGCTGCTCTTGGCGTTACACATGAGTTAATGCCTGTTAACTAACAGGTAAAATTGCGAGGCTGCAGCTGCGGTGTTTAATGAGGAGCTCCGTGCGCTGCTTCCCGTGTCATTCCTGGGGGTGAGTCACCAGCTGGCGTTTGAGCTGGAGCTGGAGCCACTAACTGGGTTATGGCAGGGAATGAAATGAGATGTGAAAGCAGGAGCTGGCCCCAAGCCTGCATCCCCAGATGAGCCCACAAGGTTTTTGTGGGAGCTGAAGCCTGGGGTGTACAGGGTGGGGAGCAGGGGCACCACGTGAGCAGGAGTCCAGGTGCAGGAGAAGTCTCTGAGACCCGTGTTGCCTGTGCACTGGTTGTGCTGCTCATGGGACTCAGCTACGGAGGGGTTAATCTCTTCCTTGTTTGTTTGTTAATTATTGTTTCTTCCTTGGAGAGTGTCTTTTGTTTTCTTGAATAGGCTTCTGGTATCCCATTGTCCTTTTATGTGCCCCATGGGCTTCTCCCCAGCTCTGTGACCCCAATTTCCTCTTCCCTAGTCCCCTCCCGCAGTGTCCCCCTGCCCAGGGCTCTGCTGGATCTCAGTACCCTCCTACTGAGAGGTAAAGGTTCAGCCATTACTAACTGGTTTAGATAACCAACATCTGCTAAAATAAATGAGGGATGCAGTGAGATGCCATGTTAATGCACTTCCCTACTCAGGCTTTTAAAGAAAAAAAAAAAAAAGGTCTTTTGTGAATCATTGATAAGTTCAGCTTCACTCAGGATCACTTATGCAAAAGCCCAATATCGATTTTTCATCTTTGCTTAGAGTAGCTTCCCACGCATCTGTTCAGGATGCAACGGGGACTCACTTATCAGCATCTGACTCACCTGCTCCTCTAAACCTTTCTTTCTCAAGGACAGAGGAGTAGCCAACCTGCTCACAGGATGCTTGACCTTATACTGTAGGATCAGAGGTTGCTTGTGTGCCACAAGCTGAGGCTTTAGACATATTTTCCGCGTTTGCTTTGTTCCCATTAAGCGGGAATATCTTTAACAAGTGAGATAGCTCTCAGAGTCCTTTACAAAGTCATTAAATGTTCATTAGGGAAGCAGTTCTGCTAACCCTTCAGATTCTTATTGATGTCCTTCCAGGGCTCTGACCTAATTCTGGAGTTCTCCCAAGGGTTACATTGCTATCTGGAAAGAAACCAAAATGGGGATAATACAATTGTTGTGGAATCCCTGCTTGACTGCACACATACATTCTCTTTTTAACATACACATTCATTTCTAAAAGTCTCCAAAGCTGAATGAGATACATAAATCCAACCCCCTCTGAATGGCCCAGCGGAAAAAATCGATTTACAGGCAAAGTGAAGAAGAGGAGGTAAATACAATATCTTTCTCTGGACAGAGGATGCTTCCTCCCATCATTTAGAACAAGAGGATAGAGCATGCCTGTCCTTGCCTGGGATTTCCAGGCTGTCTGTTGTATCCCAGAGGCGTTGCCTTTCTGCAGGAGAGGGCTGCACAGGCAGGCTGTTGCTGCAGCCCACGGGCACTGTGTGAGCACTGCAGGATGCTCCCGAAAGCCTTTTTCTCTCTGGGAGAATTCATTGTGGAAGATGGGATGCAAACTGAGAGACCCAGACCTGTGTCAGCCTAGTGAAATGGAGATGTCAGAGCACTTTGACAGCAGACAGATGGATATCAACAAAAATCCTGAAGGTATTAGTAAGATATGTTTTGGGAGAGGTAAATGCGGTGGATAGACTTAGCCTAGCGCACTTCGTTGAGATGAAAATGTTCCATAACATCAAAGGGGTCTATGGGCTGACACGCCATCACATTCTTGATGTTTCTGAAAATTAGTCCTATGCAAATCCCAAATGAGCATGAAAAAAGCCCCAGCTCTGCCTCATACAACACAAGTGCAGGAGTCAGCCTCTAGTTTAAAGCAGGGCAGTTTATAGTGCTATGAGCTGGAATTGCAACTCTGCCTCCTTTATCTTCTGCAGAGGTTATTTGTCATTAGATTTGCAGCAGCATGGAGCCAGTGGTTTTCCTCATACCAAGTAATGCCTCTGCTGCTCTGAAGGGACGTTCAGCTCTTCTGCTGGGCAGCTCTGCGTACGTCGGTCCCATGGGGCTTACAGAGCCCCTCTGCTCCCAGGCAATTTCCCTCCAACGTCTGTGTATTCCTCCCAGCTCAGTGCCACAGGCTAATCAGTGAAAATCAAGAGTTGGAAAAAAGGAATGATTGGATTTTGTGTCTCCAGAGTGCTTTACCTTTTTTTTGTGCTTTGTTGTTGAAGCCACTGGTATCTTTATTGCTCTTCTCTATACTTTTCAGTAAAATAAGATCGATTGAGGAAGGAGCTTTAGGAGAGCTGATTTGATTTTCCATTTTGACTGTGGTTCCGCATATATTTAGTGAACTGAAATCACATTTGCTTCCTTCTGTGATCCTCCTCTTACCTGCTCGCTAGATATTAACACAGTCCTCCTCTCTGTCTGTTTTCCCTAGTACATGGGCTGCATTGAAGTGCTGCAGTCAATGAGGTCCCTGGACTTTGGCACACGAACGCAAGTCACCAGGTAGGTGGCATCAAACTGAAATTCAGCCCAAGAATAAAAACCCCAAGCGCTAGTTTCTGTATAAAGCCCAGGGTGCGTGCCAAGCTCTGAGACAATTTTGAATAGGAGTTTGCATGTTTTGTTTTCTTCTTTTCCTGAGCAATGATTTGAATTATTTGATCATTACAATAGCCTATTTGCACTGGAAGATGAATTGTTTCAGCCACAGACCTGATTTTTCTCCCAGTTCTTGTTCTGGATCCAGAGAGCCTCCCCCTGCAGAGGCAGCGGGGTACGGAGGTCCCCAGGAGCTGGGGAAATATTTTGTGGCGTTTCGAAAGGTTTGCAGCTTATAGCTTGCTGCCGGTCGCTGGGTGGTGTTTATTAATGTGTGCACCTGTGGGGTGGTTGAAATGTTCTGTCAGGAGCAGAAAAGCCCAGTTTTATTTCTACCTTTATTATTGTAAGTCTGTCAGTGCAGGAGTGTCTGAGTTTTCGAAACAAGCACCCTGTGTCCAGCTCAGTGCGGCATGCTGGGGGATGCACTCGCGGTTCGGCGGCCGGGGCGAGTGCTCCAGCGGGCAGCCCCAGCAGCCACCCGCCGTCCTGCCACCTCCAAAGGCTTTTTCAAATGGTGGGTGGATGCAGGGTATTTTGGGCCAGCCTTAGGCGTTTTCCCTCCTCCCCTCAGCTATTTTTCTGGCATGGTTCATGCTGAGGATGCCAGGAGTGTGGTTGAGGCTTCCTGCGCCTGCCCAGCTCTTCCTTCCTGATGGCAGATGATGATTTACAGATGCTCTTTTGCTTCCTCAAGTGTTTGTATCAAAGAAATCCTGGAGAAAGGAAAGGAGCATGAAGAGATAAGTGTTACATTTCTACCTATTGGCACCCGGACTTATCAGATAAAAGGAAGAAAATGAAAAAATTGAGTCCTTAAATACCTACATACCATACTGGAAAGCTGCCTGATTTGTTTTATGTTCTGAATCAGCGGTTGTGGACATTTACAATCAGCATAAGCACACACTCACCCAGTTCCTGCTTGTGTATGTGAAGAAGTGCCCAAGATACAAATATACTTCCCTCAGCCTAGTTGTTTTCCGATCAAAAAGAGCCATGGAGCACACGTAGCCCAGAGCAGTGAGCCTGGTGCATTCAGACCAAGCCACTGTATTCTTCAGCAGCCTTGGCCAAAGGGAGAGGTTATCTCCTGTCTGCAAGAGACGGAGCATGTATGCTGCCACACTTCCGAAACAGAGATTTGGATGGTTTGTCTGGAAAAGAATGAGTATGAATTACTGTGTGATGAGAGCTTGCCAACTTAAGTTTGGCCCAAATAGTAAGGTTTCGTTAACTAGAGCTATGTGAAAACTTAACAATGGAAGTATTTCCATTACCTAAAAAAAAAAAAAGCCCCTGCTGACCTTAATGGGCTCTTTTGTGCATGAGAAATTCAAAACTTAAACTGTTTGCAAACCGAATGCTGAAGTGCTGAGCTCATGCCTGCAAACTTTAAAGTTCGATCGATCACAAGCTGACTGGAGCAAAGATAACATTGATTATTCCCCTATTGTTCTCCAGGAGGAGTAAGTTTATAGACCGCACGCATGATGCACCAACCAAGGAGTTATTGGAAAGGATCCCATTGTAATAATCTCTGTTATTTTTAGGGGGTAAAAAAATTTTTACTCTGATGGCATTTCACTAAACAAAGAGGCATCTTCTGTTTTAAAGTGATGTCAAAAGGGTCTCTAATTATGTCTCCTCCCTGCCTTGCTTTATGTGTATTTGTATTTTCAGTCTCCTGATCTCTAAAATTAAAGATATTATTTACCTGCCTCACATGAATGTTGGAAGGATCAGCAGACCCGTGTTTGCCAAAGTGCCATGAGGAGTCAAAAGAGATGAGCGTGGAGGATTTATTTTCTAGTTTCTTGCTGGACTTGCATTGTCAATCACTTACCAGGCACAGGGTTGGGGAAGGCAGAAAGTGGCCTCCCCAGCGCTGTGAATGGCCATGGGGCGCAGAGATGCCGTATGACCGCAGCGTAGCAGGGGAACGACCAGGCACTGAGGTGCTCTCTACCCTCAGCCCTCAGCAGCCGTGTGGTGAGAAGGTTGGCAGAGGAGATTTCGTGGCAGCAGTTTTCCGGCTCTCTGCCATGCCCACCTGTGACCTGACTCGCATGCTCTTACGACATTTGTGGTCCCAAACTCCATGTAGATGACCAGAGCAACACCAAGCAATAACAATAAGGGTAACAGGTTCCTCTCCTCGAGAGCCTTTGAATTTTTTTTGAATGGTCACCCATAAACGTGCTGTTCTCAGCACATGTTCAGGCTGTCACCTTTGTGCCGTGGCAGGTCCTGCCTTTGCTGGACCCTGACATGCGCTTCCCTTGTCCAGCCCTTCAGCTCTTTTCTTCTTACACGTCTACCACGATTGTTAAATCAAGCTTATTATTAGTAATTATATTTGGGCATTTATAGGAAAAGGGATTCTGTATCTCAGATCGGGGCATTAACTGGCAAACTTGAAAATGGTCAGGCAGCGAAGGGCGAAGGGCATCTGAGTGTGCTGCTGGGGAGGGCTGGTGAAGAAAGCTGCCTTTGTTTGGAAGATTAATTTCAACTTTGTTGAGACGCACAATCACTTTCTGTTAGACAGCGTAGGCAGAGCCTTAGATGCTTAAAAGCAAATCTTCAACAGCATGCTTACTTGCTTACATCAGCCCATCTCTCATTTGGGGGAACAATAAACAAAGCAGCTCACTGTGCCTGCCCGTGGGCTCTCCTGCATGTTCCTGGAGGAGCGGGGAGGAGCGTCTGCCGCGGGTTTCGCTCCAGAGGCGCAGACCCAGAGAAGACCTGTACACTGTACAGCTGAGCCGATCTAAAGGCTTATGGATGCCAAAAATGGGGCTGTCCTTGTCACCCCCTCCTGCCCCACAGCTTGCCGAGCCCTTGCCAAGTGGCTGCAGCCCAGCTGGGTGGCTGGCCACGAACCCAGCGGGCAGGGGGGCCAGTGCCCTGCGGGGCTGGGGGGCTGCACCATGCTTTTTGGGGAGCCACCAAAATTTCCCTGTGCTGCCAGCTCCTGCAGCCCTCGGCCACATAGGGATTGTGCCACTGTCCCCGGTCAGTGTCTCCCAGCCCAGAAAGTGGGGAGCTGCCCACAGCAGTGTGCTCAGGAGCCTCGGTGTCCCAGTTGAAGAGGAATGGTCCTGCTTCCCCATCCCCGTCCCACCTCCTGGATCCCATCGAGGTGCCCCCAGAGAACTGTACCAGCCTGGATCCTCACTGAGCTGGTGCCCAGCGGAATAACCCCTGGGAAGCTCCCTCTGCAGTGGACGGGCATCTGCTGGGGTAGGGGTGGGACCTCTGCCTCTGCGGCAGGGCTGCTGCTGGTGACAGCCTGGGCTCCAAAATGCTTCAGAGTAATATTTTTCAGGCTGGCAAAAAGAGATGACCCGAATCTCTTCCATTCACTACGGAAAGTAAAAGCTGTGTCAATGAAGCAGTGATCAGTTTATGTAATTGTGTGGGCACTGCAGGACCGACAGGCAGTGATTCCACTTCAAATGGCAGAAGATGCCCAAGGAGTTGAGGAGCAAGATTTTCTTTGCCCTAAACTACAAGAACAATCTAAATTCCTCACAGCTCTCCTGATTTCATTCTCTGGCTCTCAGGGTCGAGAAGAGCTGCTGCAGAGTACGCAAGTGGAGTTATCTATTCAGGGTGATTTGAAAGAAAGAAAGAAAAAAAACCACCCGAATTGTTTCGCTTTGGGATGAATGACAAGATAAAGAAAAAGCAGAAACATGACTGGAATAACAAGGCCACATTCTCTGCTGCTGTGGAAGATATCAAACGGACAAGCAAATGCCAGAACCCATAAGGCTGCACATTCATCCAGGAACAAGGCAATTACCTACGTGAGCTATGCACAGGTATATGCTGTCTGGCAGATCTGAAAGCAGAGACTTGCCTGAGCAAGTGGTTGAAAATGAATGTCTGTAAGAATGAATTACTAGCAGATTTCCAGGAAGAAAGTGCAGAGACACTAAATCCTATTTTGGTTTATTATGGACATATCCAGAGTTTCTTTTCTGCCTGCCCCATGGAAATGACTAAAGGTGAGAAGCGTTCAGTTGTAGCAGCAAAGTGTTACAAACTGCTGCTTTTCACATCTTTGAAATAATATTAGAGAAGGTTTGGTAGATCATCTGGAAAACCACCCAGAGAGATGCAGCAAGAAATGTCTGTGAGAAGATTATTTCCCCTACGAAAGAGAGGTAATAGAAACTATTAAGCAGAAATGATTTACCTATGTTTTGGTTCCTGTTTGCTGGACAAGTGCTTCAGCGTGTGGCGAAGTGGGCAGTCACCACACCAGCTTGTACAGGAACAGGGTCCGTTGCTGGCAGCTTTGCCTACGGCTCGTTATTCCCCGTGTGCTGCCTAAAGTGTGCGAGAAATTATTTGTCACCAAAATAGACGACTTCCCTGTTTTTCCAATATGTTCTGTATCTGGTTTTCTTTCTAGGTAGAGCTAGACTTGAAGGCTCCAGGTAGCCTTAATGTCTTGGCTCTGATTTTAATTTCCTTTAATATTGAATGAGAAGATGAGCTTTCAATTTCCAAGCTGATTATTGGAATCTGCAAGATCACCCTGCAGGATGCATCTCCCATTTATTTTTTTTTTTTAGTTTTGGCATTTCTACTGGTAACACCTAAATAAAGCAGGAGCTAAAGAAGAAGGACATCAGGAATTTGCTTCAAAAGCATATTTTCAGCTGTGTAGAGGGAAGTACTTTGCTTTAAAAGGCTAAAAGAAGGCAGTGCTTTAAAAGCTGTGTTTCTGACCCATCTTGTGTAGCCCACGATGAGGCTCCTCTTCTCCCCCGCTGTTTTCACTCAGAACATATTAATTACATCTTTGTTATTTTGCCATGGATGGGGTCTTCATTCACTGGACAGTCTCCAGATTGAATTTCTCAGGATGTTCTCTGACAGGAATACTTGGTGTAGCATCACTGATCTTCAGTGCTTCAGGCAGGGAGCCCGTCGGTGCAGCACTGTCCGTGGGGCGCTGAGCGGGAGGCACCAGCGATGCTGCGGTTCACGGGTGCTGTGCTGGCTCTGTGTGCGGGCTGATCTGCGCCCCGGGCACGACGCAGGGTCCTGGGGGAACCATGCTCCTCACCAGGGCACCTCTGCTATGTGGGATGTATCCGGCTGGAGCCTCTCGCTGGTGTGTGGTCCCCTGGTATTTTTTAGCCTTTCTGAACCAAAACTTTCTCAAGAAATGAAGCCCTGTGGCATGTTCCTCCCACGCACATGCCAGGATCTGAAAACAGGCAAACTCTCCTAACTAGCTCGTTTCCTTATTAGTTCTTTGAATAATAATCCAATAACATAAACAAATAATTAAACAAACTAATTCCCTTCCCCTTAAGAACAAAACAACATCCCAACCGTTGAAAGCCGGAGTTCAGCTGTCAGAGAAAGGCTAAGGCTACAGCCTCAAAATAAAATCACCCCATATGGGAACCGCAGCCTGGGGGAGGTGTTGGGGGCCGTGGCAGAGGACTGGGGCAGCTGGGGGGTCAGGGGCTGTGGCTCAGACCAGGATGTCCAGGCAAGGTTATGGAGACTTGCTAAGCACATCCCAGCAAGTCACCATTTTCCCATTGACTTCAAAACCATATGTATCAGCCAGGGAAAGCCTGCGACTGCCAGCAAAAGGGTTTTTTCCAGCTGCTGTGCTAACCCCGACCAGGGCGAGCGAGTGCTTCACTGTGTGTCCAAAGCAGTCACCTGCTGGAGCATGTGTCAGAATTTTCACTGTTCAAGTGTGGAAAACACGCACAGTGCACCACTATGTTGTATTAAATGTGCAATTTAGCTCTGATATAGGCCAATAAACACAGTGGGTGCTCTGTACCGCACCCTTCTGCTCCCTGCACTGAGAGGTGCCTGTAGAGAACAGCGGGTGGCTGGAAAGGATGTCTGGTTGGGGAAATACCTGCCAGAGATGGAAAGATACCAATTGAGACCCCAGATTTGAAAAAGAATGAGAGAAGTTGATTACTCCTACTTCCCACCCTGCCCCGCATTTTTAAGAAAAAAAGAGAAACCCCAAACACCAGCAAGGCAATGAGGGCCCCCAGCTGGGCTCACTCAGCACACCCCTGCTGCTCTGAATGAGGGAGGGAGGGCATCCTCCCTGCCGAGCAAGAGACCTGTCAACTCTACTGAGAAAAAGGATTTGAAGGCATCAGGTTGTTTGTGTTTCTTGTGGTTAGTTGATGGATTTTAAAAAAAAAAACAAAACAAATTTTCATTAGGTGAAACCGATGTGTTTTGTGAAAAAAAGAATTGACCCAAACCAGGCTGCTGAATTATTGTATTTTGTTAAGGAGGGTTTGGGTTTTTTACTAGTGGGAGGAAAGAATAAAGAAAAACAACTGTGAAAGACCTTCCAGAACATTTAAGGGCTTAGAAGTGGGATGATAACAATAAATCACAGGGTGCTGGCCCTGTTGCAGATGATGCATGTGAAATGATCCTATGGTTTGTGCTGTATTTTTTGATTTGCAGGGAAGCAATAAGCCGCCTGTGTGAAGCTGTTTCAGGTACAAATGGAGCTATAAAAAAGCGGAAGGTAAATACTGTTTTAGCTGAACAATTGATTTTCTGTATCTGCTTTTGATAACCTGGATACATGATTCCCTAAGAGGCTTCAGTCCATGCTGGAGTTAGTGCACGTTAATCCGTCTGAATTCAGTATAACGTGTAAGCACTTGCAGCAGGGTGTTTAGCCTGCTTTGTTTGGGGCTGAGGCCATGCCCTACCTTATTTTCTTCAAGATTAATGCTGTGCCCATTTGCAGTACTCAGTGCTTTACAGGCTTTAGGTTCTGGCTGGTAAAATTTCAGAGGTTTTGGTTTTTTTTTTATTGCAAAAGGGAGCTCATTCACTGGAGGATTACCTGATTGTTATTTTTTATGTATATATATATATGTATATATAATCAAACAACTGTTCAGTGGGCTGATCACTTAATAACTGGGATGCAGTGCGGGGCAGCATCAGTGGCTGCTGGTGGGTCATCCCCAGGGCAGTTACTGATTTCCATCTGTAACTGTGGGGCTTGGGAGGAATGAACGTGATCCTGAAAAATTAATATACGAGAGAATTTCCTGATTTACTCAGAAATGCTTCATCCCTAGGAAACGAAGTAGAGTTCAGCTTTTCAGGAAAATTACACGTTCTGAATTACTGAGCCAGCTATAACATTTAGCTCACTGGGATTTTGCTTTAAAACATTTTTCCCATTATTGACATAAAAACCATGCCTACAAGTACTGTATTCAGAGCTGGTATTGGTTAGAAGATCTCTTTGCATTTGATCAAGTCATTATCCTTGCTCCATTGAAATTCTCAATAAGATATCGTAAACACTACTTGACTTTGATATGTTTCTACCCCTGACAGACTCAGCTGACAGCCTCTTTCTTTTGTTGCTTTGTTCAAAGCCTCCAGTGAAGTTTCTGTCTTCTGTACTTGGCAAAAGTAACCTTCAGTTTTCTGGCATGAATATAAAGCTGACCATTTCAACAAGCAGCCTCACTTTGATGAATGTTGACACGCAGCAGGTAGGATACATATAAATCAGGGTCCTTTCCTCCATGCTACTGTATTCTCCTCCTTTCCTGGCTTCTGAAGAAAAGGCTGGGCGCCTTGAAGGGAAATCAGCACCCTTTAGTCTTCTTGTGCATGCCTGGTAAAGCTGAGTTACATGATGCCTCTGAATTTAAAAATGAGGGCGCTTCGGAGGACTTGGGCATGCAGCAATACATGCCCTTTTTGTTTATGGTGGTGTGGGATCCTTAAACACTTGGCAAACTGTTTCTCTGCATGTGTCTCTGCCTGTGCAGTGCCTAATAAATAAGGCAGTAGTGCTGACTGGAGTTTCTGACAAGTCCTAGGGGAAAAAAAAAATGGATATAAATATTGAGTCTGAGCTTGGCTTTGGTGTCGTTCAGAGCTATTTTGCAGCTGGGTAATATATGTGCGTAATCAGTTGTACTATGCAAAGTCTCTGGGCTCCATCAAGATGCGTTCCCAAGAGCCTAGATCTGCCCTGGAACTGGGGTGTGCTCCCTTCTTGGCAGATGTGATGAGGAGCTTCGTCCTGCCTGCCTAATTCCTCCATCAGCTGTTGGCTTCTGCTCCCAGCACGATCTTGCCTGTGGCCAGCAGGAGGTTTTGCTCCAGGCTGGTGCAGGGGGACATCAGGGAGGTAGTTTTGGCTCACTGGCTCTGAGTGATGCTGTGCTGAGTGTCGGGCAGCTCTTGGGGTTCCACCAGAGCCCAGGGGTCTCCTGGCCATGGACTCCTGTGCTAGGAAGGGTCTGTGGCACCAGGTTTCCCTTCCTTTGAGGTGGAGCAGCA